GCCAAGAAGTTCAGAAACTCAAAAGAGATGCCGACAAAATTTATGTAGCGATAAAACTCTTGTGACTTCAGAAACATGTCGCTTTTAGCTCATAAAAATTTTAAATCAATTATGAAAGGAATCATTGAGTAAGTGAGCTTATATTTCATTTAACTTAAATCACTTGAATATTCGTTTCCTGGCATCTCACTATTATACAATAATTATTATTTGATTTTTGACCTATAATAAACTCTCTAATGGCGATGGGAAATTTTGAATAAATTCTGAAATTTTGCAATTTTTAAGCTCAGAATTTAAAAGCACTTCATTGGGCCAAAAAATTTTATAATTTGAATAATGGACTATAATTGAAATAGTCAAAAAAAAGAAAATAAGCGTGATTTTTTGCTACATTCTTTGTAGCGTTAGCATAATTGCTTTTCATGCTGGTTAATTATCTTATAAACTATTTTCCTGCACATATAATCATCTATCTGAAAGTATTCACTGTCACTCTTGAAGGACATTTATAAAATGCTCTTTGAAAAGATGGAGCTAATCAACTCTCAAAATGAGGGACTTTTAGCAGATCAAAAAGCTTATTTGTTGAAGGCGTAAAATCTCTTTGAGCATTTGACCAATTCAAATGATTTTAATTTTTCTTCCATGTAATACTGAAAAGATAGTAAATCGTTAGTCATGATTATTTCATTAAAGATATGAATTAAAAGATTAGAAATTTTCCAGGAGACTTTTGATCCATGCATTTGGAGAATTACTGAAAAAAAACATGGAATCCATAATTCTATAATTCCTTTCCAGAATAAATAATAGTTAATTAATAATCAAAACTGAAAAATCATATTGTTTCAAAATCCTTCATTATAAATTCAAAAATACACATTCCTTTTGCATGTTAAAATTTTAATTTATCATTCGTTTTATCCGATCAATAAATCTCAGAAAAGAAAAGAAAAATAGTTTCGAAATGAATTTTTCATTTACGCTTGCGAAAAAAAACACAATACTCAGGAAAACTCGAGCTGGCACGTGATGTTCTGGATTGTGTGACATAATTAATAAATTGAATGTATGGATATGACAGAAATGAACTTTCCTAATTCATGGTTCAAAATATCTGATTTCTCCTTGTAAAACGATAACAATTGAGAGAGAGAGAAAGAGAGAGAGAGAGAGAGAGAGAGAGAGAGGATGATAATGGATAAAGTCCCATTGGTAATTACTAAATAATGTACACAACAGATTTCTTAATGTGCCACACTGCTACTCTATTCGTATCGTAAAATTAATTAAGTAAACTAATCAAAATATGGAAAAAAATAATGGATGAATGGATAATTTAAATGAAAATGAAAATTCGAAAAATAATTACCAAATAAAATCGGTTAAAATTCATTCATCAATTAAATTTAATTAATAATCAAATGAATGAATTCATAATTGGCAAACTATTATCAGTATAAATTTCATATATGAAATATTAAACCATACAAAGTATAGGGAAATTTTTATCATGACATCTATCAGTAGTAGCTTGTTAACCATATGATATGACCAAATGAATGGAATATCTTGCAAAAAAATGTGCAATTAGGGACAGCTAGCTAGCTGGCTGGCTAGCTGTCCAAACAAAAAAACATGGAATAATTGCTGATAGGATGACACATTTGTATTGGAATACTTGCATCACTTTTTCTCTTCTCTGTTCCATCACTAAGGGATGCATCTGAATCCTTCCCGTTTTCAACTCATCTGTTCGTTTGTCGAACAACTAAAAATTTTCCTTACTTTATCTTTTTCTTGGGCTTGTTTAGCCTGATTGATTTAGACTGATTTCACACCACAAAGAACAAAACCATATTGACATCTGTCTTCCAATTCATCCATCCATCCATCCATCCATCCAAACTAACCAACCAACCAACCAACCGAATCAATCAACCAATCAACTAACCAACCATCCATCCAAAATTGATGGTATATATTAGAGTGAACATGGACATCTCATATGATAATCAAATCGTAAAGAATTTCTTTCTTGTCCTTTTTTTTTCTCTTGTTTATAATTCACTGATGGAATACGGTATACGAAAAACAATCTTATCTCATTTTCAATTCCCAAAATAGGTTCTTTTGATTTAGTAAAGAGGAAAAAAAAAGAAATGAAGCCTGAAATATTGAATAATTAATTATTGATCCTTATCTTTCTTCATGAAATCAATTAAAAATCAATTTATCAATCTTTTCAATTTATCACCCATCCATTTTTAGACACATGTTTAAAATGCCTTTCGATTAGAATTATATTTTCATGCAAATAGCAAAAAAAAATTTTGTAATTTTATTTGAAAAAAATGAAAATTTTAGGACGAATAAATGAGAATTAGCTGTCATTCAAAAAAACAACAGCTTTTTTGCTATAAAATATTTACAATTTGTCATTCTTTTTTTAAAATATTATTTGCATTTTTTTAATTTTTGTTCAATTATTTTATTTTAAATATTTGCAAAAATTTTTATTCGTCATCAGTCTACCAAAATTTAAATCTCGAAAGTATAAAATTTAAAAATTTTTCAATTTCTCAGCTACATTCCGCAAAATTAGTTTTATTATAGAAAGTGTTCCACTTCTAAAAATATTACAAGAGTTTTCTCGAGAATTTTTTGCCTCGCTGTTTTTCCCATTTGTCAACTATTAGTTTTGCTATCAATTATCCATCATTTCGACTTCGTCGTTACTTTTATGAAATATCGCCATGTATTCTACCAGAAGAATGGATAAAGTTTTTCAGACAATTAAAAAATAAATCAGATAACTGAGAGAGCGATCTATCTTAACAATAGTCAGGAAGAGTATATCATCCATTCGTAATTTTCATTTATCAGTTAATCACAGTTTGTTTCTTCTGCTAAAATTGCTAATTCCGATGTTAGATTGAATATACATGCTTAACTTCCTCCAGCTTCAGCAAATATTTTGTGAATACAAATTAAAAAGTTTAAATTTTATCATTAATTAATTGGATTATAAGAAATCCTCAGAACAGTCCTTAGAGACCCTAAGATAACTTTATTAATTTTTCAATCTTAATAGTGTAATAAACGTGATAACGGTCTGATACGGGAGATTTGGAACGCAATAACTATGGAGATTGAAGGTGACGTTAGCTAATTTATGATTTGTCATTAAATTCAACAAAGTTGATATTGCAGTAATTGGAAGATGACAGGTATAACTTTAAAAAATAACCGATTATATGTCACGTCACATTCCCTTAATGCTTATTGATAAAAAGCTCTCGAAGGTTAGAAAATGGCTTAAAAGCTTGTCAAAAACTTTATGACAATATTATGACTTCGATGAACTGGAAGAGAGATAGAGAAGAGGAAGAGGGAGATAGTGAGCTTATCGTAAGAAATAATTTCATTGATAAAAGAAAAATAATGAAATTTGTCTGTAAACTAAGTGATAATTACTCCTTATCAGGAAAAAATTTTGGAGATATTGATATTTGAGAATGTTAGTTGTGATCTCTGTCATACAGGTGCTATTGTAAAATGAGGTGACAAATAATTTTTGAGTTAAATAAAAGAGCATTCAAATCACTCAAAAATTTCGCTTCCTTTCATTGATAATCATTGATAATTTCATTGATATCACTAGGTAGATTGTGATGAATAATAATCTGAAGAGATTAAAAGGTCAATAACCAATGATCATGAGAAAAGATTTAATGCATTTGGAAAATTTTGTTATTTCCGCTATTTGTTGTAATCAATTAGAAGTGGTCCAAGAAATATTGACTAATTTTTGATTCATAAATCATTTTGATTCAATTTTTGATTCATTTTTGAATAATTTTCATTAAAAGTTTTTAAACAAAAGTACTATGCCGTTTTAGGGAAAAAATGGCATTTATTTTTGTTCTAATTAAATTGAAAATACTTATTCATTTCAAAAATTTAAAATAAAAGACAAAAAAAAGAAACTCTTCGTCCTTTATCATTATTTCAGTTATTTGTAAAGAATAAAATTAATTTTTTTTTGCAAAAATATGCTAATTTTTTTATTTTTATCTTTTTTTAAAATTACTATCATAAAATGTCCATATGTTTTTTTGTTTACTACCAAACTTACAACAAATTATTTTAAAAATCCGGAAGAGCGCTAGTAAAAAAAAAATGTCGTTATTGTTCGAGACATATGAGATGTTAGCGTGAAATAAAATGGTGAAACAATAAATAAATAATTGCTAGTGAGACTTGCTAGAATGGAATTTCGTATCCTTCGCTTAATTTCATTTCCTCTTCCTTCTCTTCCTCCTCTCACTTTCAACAGATTATCTGCAAACAAAACAATTATTTATTCGCATTTTTGGTGTTTAATTACTATTTCGGTTTTTCGCTGCTATTTCAATCATTGTTATATATTAAGAATGCAACAGATTTGTAGAGTAAATGAGTTAAATATTCCAAAATTGTCGTATAATTACTTATATGCATAAATCTATTTCAATTTAAAATAAATACGATTAAAAGAATTTTTTTTTTTTGAACAGAAGAAATTTGAATAATTTAAGATGATGTCTTAGAAAGAAAATTAAAGATGAAAATCGAAAAAATTGGAAATCGAAATTGAAATTGACGACAAGATGTGACAAGATAAAATTGCGCGAAATCCATAATTATGCAACAATCGCCTAGCAGATCGATTAATCATGAACCGTACAATTTCGATTTCGACATTGAGAATGGTAGTATATTGACGATATTAAATATATTCATTTTCTTTTCTCAAATCTATTCAATCTACTTCAAAATTGCAGATATGATAGTATCATTTAATTAATTCAGTTATCTTATCAAGTTGCTGGTGATGTATTCTGAAATGCATTATATTTTACAGTAAAACATTAATTGTACGGACATTATAAGCCTTATTTTTATTATCATATTCAAATAGTTTAATCACTGCATCTTTCAAAATCTTTTGTATATTATTGAAGTTGTGGTAGCATTGCAGCGTTATTCGATTCATCCATACGATAGGATCTTTGATCATCCTTGAAGGAACGTTGGAAATTATCCTTACCAGCAGTTTTCTCCGATACAGGATTTAATATTACATAACTGATTATCATCTCTGCACTAATGCGTATAACTGCTCCTTTATTATTCTAAAAATGATCAGTTAAAAGTTTAAGGAAAATCTCATCAAATTATTTCACACTCTCAAAATTTAGAAGTTCACTGTCAAAAAAATGATTTTTTTTTAATCGAAATATTCAAAAACGTAGAGATTACTCTTCCAGCCTCAGCAAGTTAAAAAAATGTTACATTTGAATTTCTGAATAAAACAAATTTCGGGATCAGATTTGATATTTTTGCGCTTTTATGCAAAAATATATACTTCTATCAATTAGTGCTTTAATATTCTCTATAGTGCGGTATTCTCTTTTTTTAACTCCTATAAAATTTCTATTCATTTCTATTCAACTAAATCGGCTCATTGTTATAAATTAATTGCAATTATTTATCCTGACAAAAAAAGCTATCAACAAATGAATATTGCATTGTTTATAGACTTCAAGAAGGAAACAATTAATCGAAATGTTTTGGAAGAAAAAGAATCGAAATAATTCATGTAATTAAGATTTTTATTTAAACATTTATAATTCCTTAATTTGAAAAACTTCTAGTTTAACTTCTTGAGTTTCAACAAGTGTAAAAAATTTTTAAATCAATATTTTTTTTATTATTTTTGAATCTCGTTGTTCCTCGACTGACTTCAGCATTATGTAATGTAATGCCTTCAGCATTACATTACAAGCTGGTAGCCCATTTTAACAACATACTATTAGCTTTGAATGAATGGTTACTTTCACTATTTGTACTTCAACTGAACGTTAATTACACCTGAATTATATGCATTCAACCTTCACCTCTCTTTTCCACTTATAACAATAGCAAATTATTTTTAATTCATATCAAAAAAGTATGAATTCTATTGCCAAAAAAAAGAAAGAAAAACAACAATTTTATTGCAGTTTGAAAAAGTATTCCATTATTTAACAATCATCTCAGCAGGGCAGAACGTAAATTATGGAATGCAACAATCTTAAGTGTTGAATAAGAATTTCTGAATTGAATTTATGAGAAGGAATAGTTATTCATTTCAAATTTTTCGTAATCTAAAAATCATAAATAATCCATTTTCTTCTATATTTGATGGAAGTCTCCATTTTTTGTTTTTTAAAAATGGAAGTCCCCATTTTTTTTTATTGTAAAAATTTTAATATACAGTATGAAAAGAAACTTACGAGTTCTGCGTATAATGGTGCCGAAAATATTGTAACCAATTTACGACCAGCAAAAAATCCATATCCATTTTCCATCACCTTTAAAAGCAAATTAAAAAAAAAGAAAGATATTAGCTAGTCCAGAAGAATTTTTAATATTCTTGGATAGATTTAAATGTTTTAAAATGCATCTAATAATTGCATGCTTAAATTTTTACTTTAGCTTATTTTTGCTTTTACATTTAATAAAATTAATGCAAAACCTGATGTGCTCGTATGATAAGATCCAAGTTCAAACGTTTACACGTTTTATGGACAATATCTTCACCAAATGCAACGCTCACATTACGCAATTTGTTAGGCTCGTAACCTTTAATGTCTAATTTCGGATCCGACCAAACTAAATCCTGTTCCAGTGTATCCGGAAATACTTCCATTACTGGCATTTTAATCTGAAATCAATCATAAATTTACAAAAATTTTTGCAAAAATTTTTCTTTAAAAAAAACAAATAAAAAACTTCTATTTGTATAAAAATTTTTCAAATTTTATTCCATACCACTTTAATTTTCAAATCGGACAAATACGCAATTTAGAACGAGAGAAAAAATGAAATTAATTTATTGCTTTTATTTACTAGTCTTGCCAACAAGAATATGCACGCCATTATTGTGAAAACAGTTGTCTATCGTAGATTAAATGAATAATAAATTAAACTATCAAAAATAGCCATCTAAACAGATTTTTAATTTATTCCAATAATATAGATTACATTTCGAATATCATTAAGCGATTCAAGATGTGGACTGAGACCACCATGCATGCAAAGTATTTTATTCTTAATTAAAGCCGAAAATGGGAAAATTGAAAATAAATCGTTGAATTCTTTCCATAAACGCATTGCCTGACCTAAAATCAGATCAGCAACTATTAATCGTATCATTAAAGCTATAATAATCATCAAGTTAATTGATATGATCTGCAAGAGCAACATTTGAAAATACATGCAAAAATTAACATTTTCTTGATCCTCCATCCCATTGACCAATTTCAACAAATTTTTTCATTATAAAACTCATTGAACTTATCCTTTCATCAATATGTGCTTTTAAAACTGTGAAAAACTTACCAACGCTAAATCTTGCAGCTAATTCATCATAAAAGCCGTATTCTCGATTTACAGATGCAAATTCATGATTACCACGAAGTAAAAATACCTTCAATAAATACAACTTTTAAAGTTTATGTTGGAGCTCATGAGCAAATATTTTTCTGCATTTGAATTCATACGCTCTTAGCAAATTCTTACATATTTTGAGTTCATTTAACATTTTGAATCGAAAATTTGATTGGTACTATTGGTGATAATTTGTTTTAAAAAACAAAATTTCTAATCTTGAAATTTTTAAAGATTAAACAGAAACTGATCTTTTTCTCAAGTATTCGATGGTAGCCAAAAAACCTTCATTAAAGTCACTTTGTCCATCGTTAGCAATACATTAATACTAGACGTTTAGTATCGTTACTGTTTATGAATAACTTTACCAATTACAATTATGACTTTTACCAGCTAGATATTACCTTCGCACATACAATTCTTTTGTTTTTATCTAATTTATTAGGCTTCAACACCAATCCTTGTTAATATTTTTTGCTTCTTCAAATTATATTCAATGCAATAATTTGTGGATTCTCTTTTCTTGTAAGATTGAATGAGATTCGCAGTAATTTGAGGCGAATTTCGAGAATTCATACCCTTTTTGGATATGCAATTTTCCAGGCAACAAGCGAGCAAATACATTCGAGAGATTGTGGTCCACGATCAACATAATCACCAAGAAACAAAAAACGTGTTCTACCTGGTCGTCCAACAGCCGCAAAAATCCGTTGCAAGTCTGCATACTAAAAGTGACAGCAAACCGTCACCTTCAAGTCATTTCAACGAATTCCAATTGACTGATATTTCTTCTAGATTGAAAAATTGATATTTTAGATGTACGATACCTGTCCATGTATATCACCGACTACGATCACTGGTATTGGAACATCAATCAGTGCACTCTCATGCGAGAATAACACTCGAGCCGTTTCGATCATTTCACAGATTTCATCAGGATTATATTCCACCTAAGCATGCTCAATTGGAACAGCAATATTATACTGCTAATTGAGCCTTTCCGGTAATTATAGCCTTTCAACATATTTATTTGTCAAGCATAGCTTAACTTAGCAGTTCCGTTTTAAAGCAAAGAAGCCTCAACATGTAAACCCGTGTTACAACAAAATGAAATATACAATCACTGAAGGATATATAAACGTTACCAGTCAATTTATCTAACTTTCTTTTTGCAACTTCTCTGGAAAAAAAATGCACCTTCGTCTTAAATTTTTGATGTTTTGCAAGAAATGGAAGCAATTCAAATTTAGTGTGTGCGACCATAGTATTTCTTTTTAGAAAACAGCAAATGAATCAGCCGCCTTACAGCTAATCAAACTAAGAAACAGTTGTATCACTACTGTCATGATATATAGATAGTCTGACCGAATGCAAATTTTGTGAAAAAATTTGAAGACGTATTAATAGAATTTGATGAATAAAATCCAATCTTTGCATATCTGATAATGAGATAAACGATTTCATTAGTCTTTTTTTAACTGTTAACCATTATGAATAAAGGATATAACAAAATTTTCCAGTAAAATCTCTCACTTGAAAAACGTCTGTTATCACCTTCAAATGTGCTAATCAACTCCCCACCTCTTTGACCTTTCCACTATTTTAAATTAAACATCAAATCTCATCTGCGGAAATGCAAGGTGTAGAAAGAAAGAGATTCAATACGCTTTTGGTAATAAAATTTACTCATAATGCAAATCTGGAACAATCAGATATGTATTACTTTCTGAAATGATTCAGATATGTATTACTTTCTGAAATGACTCTGCATAATAACTGTTATTTTCTTAAAAATTACTAACAATTTCAAAATATGCAAAAGACAAGAAACAATAAATGAAGTAGTAAACATAACAGTATATAAATAGTGAATGAAATAGGTTTCCTACAAATTTATTGATCATTTTCTTTTGCAAGTGAACCCAAAACAGCCGCGGGTATAGCTTTCGTTTCCACATCTGAAACCATTAAATTGAGTATAAAAATTATTTCATGCAGCATAATTTGTTAATCAATGCTCCACATAATGATTTTGTCAAATTTATCAAAGCGTAAACGAAAAATCATGGATAAAATAAACCAACATTTCAGGTTACTCGTTTGTTTGACATTTTGAAAAATAAATTATTCTAATTCAAGACACATAAAATCTTACCGTCTACATTTCTTTGCTCATCATCGCCATCATCATCATCTCCTATATCAATTTCTTCTGGATTTTCTGTAACATTTGATTCGACCACATTAACAGCTCCTCGCACAAATTTGATACCTGTGCCGCCCACTGCCAACTTCGCCACACCTGTTTCCTCCTCTGCGATCTTTTGCGCGCGAGCTTCAAGCATCGCCATGCTATCACCAGCCGTACTTGCTAAAATTGAAATATAAAATTCAAAAAAAGCTTACGAAAAATAAAATCCTATATAGAAATGAATACCCTTTTTTCTCATCTCCGGAACGCGGAATATAAAAAAGTAATTAAGTGAACTCACGTTCATGTATGATTGTGCCTGTAGCTGCACCCGCTGCTGTGGATAACATCTGTGCGCTCATAATATTAACATTTGTGTTGTAAGTTGCCTGTACAGATCTTTTTATGCGTAACATTTCCCTTACTGTATCCTCATTACCATGCTTCACTTCAAATTCTTTCCAAATTTCCCAGAACATACCGTGAACCTAAAAATAGTAAGAAATGAACAAATAAAATTTATTCGAGATAAAAATTCATTCAAATTTAACTGGGTTTATTTACAACATGAAAAAATAACTAGTTGTCATCAAGGTTCTTGCTAGCATTTAACCTTGTTAACTTAATATCAAAAACGGAATGACCAACATCTTCCTTTAGTTTAACTAATAATTTCTAACGAATTCATTTACCCGAGGATCACATATTTCAGAGCAATGAGCATATATTGCTCGTGCTCGATCAATTTCACCCAGTGTTCGTTCCATTTGTGCGAATCGAATACTCATCTCCCTTGAAAAAAAGATGAGAATTAAGCTTTAAAAATGAAAGCTGAACTGAAAACCAAATTATATGAAAAAACTCATTGTAACGAAAAAAAAAGAGTATGATACCTTGACTGGTCTTCTGGAAGAACTTCAATCGCATGTTCAAATATTGGTCTTGTAAATGTTAAACCGTACATGCTAGTTGCCTTTTTAATGTAGATATTGAACATCTGCAAATAAATAAATCCCAACAAGTTAAATTCTTCCGCATCGATATTTCGTAGAAAAACTCGTTTTCATATAAAATTACATATCGATTTTAGAATGTTAGAATATAAGCGGAAAATTTCAAATAAAGAATAATTTCACAAAGTAGAACAAAAACGTACACTGTACATTTCATGTTTTTCAACTGCAGTAGTCGCACGATTATAAATATTCATTGCGTGCCGTGGCAAACCATATTCTTCTTCCAGTTTTGCATACAGCAAATAGAGTTCTAAAATAAATTTGATAAATATGGACTCCACTTCTTATGACAACTTCTTTCTTGAATGTTTTACCTGGTCTATTCAGTAACAAAGTTTCCAAAACATTGCATCATATATTACAGTTAAATGCGAAATAAATAATATCAATACATATCATTATCAAACGATAGTGAAGCCATGAACAATAATATTGCCAAGCACTTTATTATAAAAACACGGGCAATCTTTTAAATTAGCCTAAAAGCTTACTCATTGCAAATTTTGGCGGACAATTTTCTAGGCACTGCTCGAAGAGGTCGCGCGCACGTTCCAGTTTCTTGCCACCCTTCAAAAAAAATTAGATGGTCTAGATGTAAAAAAAATCAGAAAAAGTGATTCTACGAACTAAACATTATTTGATAAAACGTTCCCACGTGACCCTGAAATTATCCAGCTATGTAGAAATAAATAATACATACATATCGTTTTAAAAATTTAACCAAATATACAGTCCAAATTTCATTGACAATTGGCCATTTAAACAATGCTATACCTTTCTCGTAAGCCTGAAAAAAAATGTCAGCATTTTCATTCATGGATGGTTTATTTCTCTTGAGTATTACGAAATTACCGTTTATTTCTCTTGAGTATTACGAAATTACCATTTAAAGCGTGGCCAGAAGTTTCAGTACCAAAGTTTTTATGAGAAAATGAAAAAAGTGAACACTCACCTTGAACGCGTTCTCAAAATAATTGTTTTCTTCTAGAAATTTTGCATAATTGACCACTACTTGAGGAGTAGCAATCCGTAAATCAATAATCCTTTCATACACAGCCTGACAACTTTCAAGAGTACCAAATGCTTCTTCGATATCAGCATATAAAGACCAAATCTGAATTACGGAAAATCGAGAAAATAAGGACAATTTATAAACCAAGTTTGAATTATTTTAAACAAATAAGGTTGAAAAATCAAAGATCGCGATTGCTAATTGAAACATTATATGTAAACCGAATTTATTAACCTTTAAGGATTTATATAACCGATTCTGTACTGGTTCAGTTTCATCAAAGTAATGAGTTCTCCGAGGTGGCATCGCAGTTGCTCGTTGCATTAACTTTCTAGCTTGTTCAGGATTCCTGAATAAGGTTAATAATATAAACATCACAGCTGGCCGTGATAAGGATAATTAAGAACAGTTAACAAATTATATTTTTTCATATAAAATGATGGAAAAGAAGTATTTTATTGCAAACTAACCGAAGGCGCAGCTCAAATTCAACGTACTCACACCAAACCGATGCAAGATCATCTACTTTGGTGTATTCAGGTTTCAATCCTTTTTCAAATATTAATCTAGCCTGCAAACACAACTTGATCCAGTGTAAAGTGTGTAAAAAAGTACTTGTCAAAAATTATAAAATGAAAACAAATCAAAAAAAGCCGAATGTGTATAGAAAAACCGTATCAGCTTTTCCAATTGACTGATAAATAATACTGCTATCAACACTAGAATTTTGCAAAAATTGTTTCCCACAAACAGATATGTATAATTTTTCAAATAAGACATACTTCGTTTAACATGCCCTCTCGTTCATAAAATTTCGCGAAACTTATCCAAATATTTGACAATTTACCAGTTTGTAACTTAGGTTGCACCGTTCGCACAGCTTGTTCATACGTCTCAATTTGCTATAAATTACAACCATTGTAGTTGAATTTGAAGAAAATAGGCAAACAGCATTTGCAAGTTAGAAAAATAAGCAAATAGCTATTCCTAATACAACATTCGAAAATCAGAAGTACTAAAAAAAACTTAAACTGAACATTCCTCATTCCAGCCTGACCTTTTTCTTATCGCCTTCGTATAACTGCACACGATTTAACCATTCATATGCATTATGAGGATTTTGACGCAGCAGGACGCTATTTAAAAGCAGTGGTCGACGGTCCATCAAATTCTCAAATCTGAAAAAGACTGTGACAGTCATTTTTAGATTTAATAGCTTCGAAACTAACTGTGTTTTTTTTTAGGATATGTCTTTAGCAATGGATGAAGAACATTATGGATAATATCGCATCTAAAAGATTGTAATGACTGCGAATGTGAGATTAGGATGCTGCTTTTTAGAATACCTTGCAAAGAGGAGTTCCAATTCCAATTGTTGCTCTTCATCAGCTGCAATATCCTCGTTATCTATTTCATCCATTTTTGCTGCCGTTGCACGTTCAGCAAATTTGGCATAAGCGTCAAATATCTGCGTGAAATCTCGTACAGTTTTTACTGATATCAATGATTCTTCATACACGTCTCTTGCCTGCGGATAAATTTCATATTAAGTACTGCTTTAACTAATATTACACAATATAGGATTCTATACTACAAATATGTAACTCATACAGAACCTAGCATGAAAATTACTGTAGAAAGACAATGTCTGTTAAGTAAAAATTATATAACAAAATGCTAACCCGTTCGAACTGTCCAGCT